CCCCAGCCACCCACCCGCTTTACCCTTGTGTCGCATCGAACCAACCCTAGAGTGGCTGCTACTTAGCACACGCTCCATATACATTTTTAATCGGCGCCATCTTACCACCCCTGACACCCCCTGAGATTCCCTACGATTTTACATCCCCTCGCGTCGTATCCTTTCGACTTCTGGTGCCACTCGACCACCCCGTACTCGTTCTTCCAACCTTTCGTGCTCAAGTCCCTTTTACCCTTTCGCTCTTGCGCCCCTTGCCGACCCCTCGTTACTTCACTGATTTCCTCATTTTCTCTACGCGCAACCATACGTCATCGTTTCTAGAACTTCCACGAGATTCTTTATCGGGTTTCTCGTCGGCGCACCAGTATTGTCTGATAGCGATTGCGTTTACCGTAATTGCAGGGTGGTTGGTAACAGTCTCGGGGGTACATATCTCTTATTTTGAAAAAAAAAAAATTTCGTAATACCGTTCGCGGGAATGACGTTGTGTAAGGTCTGACATTTCTTTCTTTTTTTTTTTCTCCGTAAAAACCCCCTCTTCGCCTAATTCTCAGCCTAAGGGTGCAAGGCACCCTTTTTTTTTCTTCTTCTCTGACTCCCCTTTTCATCCACATAGCATTTACTTCCAAATCATCTCCTGCGTATATATATATATATACATACACTATATATAGGCTTCATCCCCTAGAGGGTACAGAGGGACGTAATCGCATTCCCCAAGAATTGCTTATACTCTCCTACGGCCATGTCTCATGGCGGATAAGACCCTTTCAGGTGGATGATAGATCGTCCAAAGTCCGGGAGGGGGCAGCAGCGTCGAGGGGCGGAGAGGGGGGTGGGGGTAGTAAGGTAGTTCGGTGTAGGGGATGAAAAGAAACGCGAAGGGAGGTAAGGAGACGAAGAAAAAGAAAAAAGACAAGGGAGTCAGAGTCTGGAACTGGCTAAAATTACCTTTGGACGTCCCGACGCCCGGCAGCGTCGTCGTGTGTAATTAAAATTTTCTTTTTCATCCCTCCATTCACGAAGCAAGATTATTAGGCGCGGCGGGGGTAGTCGCGCGTACGGGGATTCGTTTCAGCGATTAGGATGCCGCTAAGGGTAGTACCCTACCACTCTCTAGCATCGTTGCTGCTATTTCAGTAACGTTTAAGTTGGTAACAATTAGTAGTTAGCAGTCCCTAGCGCTGCGCCGACGCTCGTACGGTTATTACGGGACTAGCAATAGTACTAACGATGCATTTCCCTAACTTACCTTTATCGTTAGTACTGCCATAGAATTTCACGGTACCCCGTGCTCCTGTGGAAATGCATAGGGGATGCTATCTTGGACGCGTTTCCGAGGAAGGATTACTGTGGTATACAGGGTGGG